AACCGTCAACCTAATTTTGACAAAAATAAACACCCACACAACAAACAAGGAGCATCATCACTAAACCAGACCTCCCAGCACTACATCAACCCGTCTTTTGAACACCTCCAGGGATGGGGCCTCAACCCCCTCCCTGGGCAGCCCAGTCCAAGGGCTGAGAACCCTTTCAGTGAAAAAAATTTTCCTAATATCCAGCCTGAACCTCCCCTGGTGCAACTTGAGGCCATTTCCTCTGGTCCTGTCGCCTGTGACTTGAGAAAAGAGACCGACCCCCACCTCTCTACACCCTCCTTTCAGGGAGTTGGAGAGAGCAATAAGGGCTCCCCTCAGCCTCCTCTTCTCCAGACCAGATGAGTCCCGGTGCTGTGCTCCCAGCAAGGACATCACTGGTGGCTCGGGCAGAGAGAACAAGGGGGGGTCGTGCTCTGGGCAGCACCCGGCTTGCCCTGTTTTGCTGAGGAAGAGGAGAGACTCGCCTCTTCCCTCTCTCTCCTGTGTGGGGGCAGTGGTGATGTCCGGGCTCTTCCCATCTGCTCGTGGGCCAGAAATCCCAACATCAGGTCACATGGATGGCAGCAATCACAGTGGGCTTCTTGGTACCACCTTCTGTGGGCTGAATTCACCTGACTTGTGATAAATATGGACAGAGAGAATGGCAGCGTCAGCCCCCAGCTCCCTCTCTGTCTCCTGTCCCTCCCGTCCCCAAGCCCCCCAGCCCTGGGTGCTCAGGGAGAAGGGATGTGCTGCTCGCCTGCTTGGAATTACTCTCCTCATTTCCAGCTTTGACAGTTGTGTTGTACTTTTTGGTGCACCCTTGGATAAGTCTGGCTGTTGGGGGAGAGCTGGGTGACACCCCCTCATTGCATCAATTGGGGTGCACCCACCACGACGAGTACGTGTCTCTACCAGGGAGCTTCTTGCCGTGGCTGTTTGTGGCCAGTGACACTTCCCTCTGACTCTGGATGTGTGGAATTGTGCAATCACTGTGTGGCCTCAGCAGCTCGGACCCTTCTCTTAAGAACCTCTTGATTTCTTTTCTAATTTGGCTGTAGCTGTCCCCAGTCCCTGGGTGGGACACTGTGGGATGGTGCGTTCTCCTGCAGGGACTCCTGGCTGGGGCTCCAGCACAGTGACAGCCCCCCCCAACCCACCCTGGGGAAGATCCCCACATCTTGCCAGGTTATGCAAATTCAGTGAAAATGCCCCAAAAAAGCTGGACCTGTGACAGCAGGTGACCCCCCCGAGCAGGAGTGAAGCCTTTGGTGTGTGTGAAGGTGATGGTGAAGAGAAGGGGCCCAGGGCAGCCACGGGGGCTGTGGTGGAGCAGGGTGTACCCCCCTCCCCGTGGTGCTGGGGCTCAAACCTTCATCCATCTCATCGTCTCACCCATCCCAAAAAACAGTGGTGTCACCTGGGCTGAGCCCCCGTTCTCCCTCACACGTGGTTTTGTAGAGAAATACCCTGAATTTCCGTGGATCCCGTGTTCCCAGTGCCCTCTGCCTCCTCCTGTGTGTCCTGTCCAGCTGCTTCAGAGGAGGTAACTTACTCAGAAGCTCATTAAGCAATTAATTCTGCTCCTTGTCCTCGAGTTCAGGCATGCTTTTGACTGGAGGGTAATTAGAAGATGATCTTGCAGAAAAAGGCTCCCTGCACGTTTCGGGCAGATGACTTCAGAGGGGCTTGTGAGAGGAGCTGAGTGTTTCCTGAGGAGGCCGCAGCCTTCACAAACGCCTGGGGATGGGAACCATCTGCTGAGGACGAGTGTGTGAGGGCGGGCTGGGCGGTGGGGGGGAACACAGACCCCCCTCCATCTCCCTCAGCCCTCCACGGGCCGTGGTGGCCTGGCACGAGCCCTGGGGGTGACCCCCGGGTTCCTCATTCCCGGCCGTTCTGCTGTTGCTAATTGCTTGTGAACACACCAGGAGGAAGCACGGTTTCGCGTGGCCCTTTGCAGAAGGATGGCTGAGCTCTCCGTTGGGATGGACTCCAGCTTCTTGGGCTCCTCCGGGGGCTTCGGTGCTGCTGGTCCCTGCCTCGGGGGGGGTTTTAGCCCCTCTGATGTGCTGTGGGGCAGGGATGGGGACAGGGAGTCCTGCTGGGCCAGTGGATCCCAGGGCTACAGAGGGGTTTGTTGCCTTCTCAACTGTGGTTACTCCACCCAAGACATCCCGGTGATGACACGGGAAGGGGGGGAGGTAACAAACCCGGGACAAACCTGTCCTCGGGAATCTTCTCTTTTTGTTTTAAACATCTGCGTTCCCAGGGAAGAGGTATTTTGGCAGCTGATGAAGGTGTCACTCACCAGGAGGACCCTGAGCTCTGCTGCGATGCTTGTGCTGGAGGACACCTCCTGGGGGGCAAACCTTTACCGAGGGCTGCCCTCGGGTCCCCCCCACCCCACGGAGCGTGTCCCGCTCTGGGAGCAGGAGGGGGGAGGCTTGGGCTGATTGCTGATGGGGCAGCATTTTTTTTTAAAGCCTGTGGTAAATGGCTGGTAGGTGGAGCAGTAATGAAGATAAATGGGAGAGCTCTTCCCAGCAGATGGGCTGGCGAGCAGAGGGATGCTGAGCTCCGACAGGCTGGGAATGCTTGTGGCCTGGCTCAGACCCCGCTCACCTGCCCACATTCCTGGGAGCAAATCTGCAGGGAAATTGGGCTTCCCCTTGAAATTCAGAGGGTTTTGGGGGGCCGGGGTGGGACCCAGAGCCTCCCGGGTCAAGGCTGGCTGGAGGCAGGTTCTGCGGGAGCAGAGGACGAGGTGCTGCCCAGTCCCTCCAGGCTCTAGTGGGAGAGGCTTTAATTCTGTAAGAAAGGGGGGAGGTGGGATTCCTGTGACTGTTCTAGGAGCTCTGTTAAATGTCACCTTTTTGCTCGTCCATGGCTCTGCTGAAGGTTCTTTTTCTGCCTGATCTCGGTGGTCTGGCCGGGAGGGAAGGGCTCTAATCTGGCCCATGGTGGGCTCTTTACCTTCTTTGAGCAGTTCCCATCAAAGCGGTTTTCAGAGAGGTTTTCTCTCACCACTGCAGCTAATATTTCCTCGGGCCGTTGGGTGAAATCCCCGTTGGGAGATGCTCTCCGTGCAGCAGCCGATGGGTGGCTTAGGACCAGAATAATCTTCTTTGCCCTAATCCCCTCCTGCAGCTTTGCCCGTCCTTCAGCCCTCGCGCTGCAGCCCCCCCCCCCCCCTCTGCCCACGCAGCTTCCCCTGCCAGGGAAACCCCCCCGAGAGCTCCCACCACCCCCCCAGAACAGCAGAACCCGGGTAAAAGTATTGAGACATGAATGTTGCTGGTGACTTGTCCTTCCCCAGTGCTGTTGTAAGTTTAGAAAAGTGGCTTTGAGGGTGTGAACCACCCTCACCCCCCCATCGGCTTGATGATGGGTGACATCAGGAAAACTAACGTTTGTCCTGGGTGGGGAGAAAAGCAGCCCCTGCCCTGAGTGATGGGCAGCCGAGCTCTGGGAGGGAAGTGCAGAAACATCGTCAGCTTCAGCTTCAGCCCAGGGATTGCAGGGGTTTCACTGAATTTCACTGAATTTTTAGAGTTGGAAGGGACCATAGAGATCATCTAGTCCAACTCTCCTGCTGAAGCAGGACCACCCAGAGCTTGTCAGAGCACGTTACTCAGGAGCATCCAGGTGGGTCTTGAAAATCTCCAGAGAAGGGGACTCCACACCCTCCCTGGGCAGCCTGTTCCAGGGCTCTGCCACCCTCACCGTGAAAAAGTTCTTCCTCATATTCAAGTGGAACCCTTTATGTTGAGGTGGGTTTTACCCAGGGCCATTTAGTTTGCAGGTTCAACTGTAGGACTTGTGCGTCAGGTCTGGTTGTGGGGATCGGTACCTTTGGACCAGACTCTGTAAAATATCTCTGTTAAATAAAGCACCTTTGTAATCGTTGCTCGCCCGAGATGGGGGGAAATCAGAATTGAGGAAATCTCTACAGATTGGACTCGATCTCAAAGGTCCCTTCCAACTCTGTAAAATATCTCTGTTAAATAAAGCACCTTTGTAATCGTTGCTCGCCCGAGATGGGGGGAAATCAGAATTGAGGAAATCTCTACAGATTGGACTCGATCTCAAAGGTCCCTTCCAACCACGAATATTCTGGATGTGAGGGGCTGATCTCCTGGATCTGCTGGCAGCCCTGCAGCCACCAGCCCCTCCTCTCAGCCGCTTCCGTTTTAGTTGATAGTTTAAGTTTTGGATATTTGGTTTGTTTGGGTTTTGTTTTTTTTTTTTACAGGAAAGATTTGAATCCTAACCTAGCATCTCCTGCTCCACCCAGTGCTCTGGCATCAGCCTGGATGAAGGATTATGAAGGATTCCCCCGAGGTTTTGCTGGATCCACAGCTCTGCTCTCTGGGAAACAGCCGGTTCCCGGGATGGAGAGGTCTGTGCTTTAGGATCACAGGAGCTGCAGGCAAGCATGGAATCATGGAATGAGGTTTTGCTGGATCCATAGCTCTGCTCTCTGGGAAACAACAGCTGGTTCCTGGGATGGAGAGGTCTGTGCTTTAGGATCAGAGGAGCTGCAGGCAAGCATGGAATCATGGAATGGTTTGGGTGGGAGGGGACCTTCAAAGGCCTCTAGTTTCAACCCCCTGCCCTGAGCAGGGACACCTCCCACCAGCCCAGGTTGCTCCAAGCCCCCTCCAACCTGGCCTTGAACCCCTCCAGGGATGGGGGAGCCACAGCTTCTCTGGGCAACCTGGGCCAGGCTCTCACCACCCCCAGAGTAAAACATTTCTTCCTTATGTCCAGTCTAAATCTCCCCTCTTTTAGTTTAACACCATTACCCCTTGTCCTGTCGCTGCAGGCCCTGCTCAACAGTGTGTCCCCATCTCTCTATAAGCCCCGTTAAGGACTGGGGGGGGACGACCCAGCAGGCAGAGAAATGCTGTGGGTGATTCCTGCTCTGGGGCAATTCAAGAATTCAAGAAGCAAAGAACAGAATGTTCCGTAATTCTGTAGGAATTCAAGAAGCAAAGAACAGAATGTTCCGATACAGGTTTATAATGAATTTTGACTTAAAATAGTAAGCAGTATACACAACATACAGGTGGGTTTTACAGAGACGCTGCTGTGTCCGTTGACTTTTCAGAACCTACCAGTGAGGTCAGAGATTTTGTTTCCTTTCTCCCACCCCCTGTGTCTGCCAGCACCGAGGGCTGGCCCCTCTCTCTGTGCAGTCACCCGGGGCTCAGGTCCCAGTCCCAGCTCCGTTTGTCACCTCAGGAGATGGGGAGACACCTCGAGCAGAGGCTGCTCCTTCTCCGTGGGGTTGGCGATGGGGCTGGGGCTGCTCCAGTGAAATGTGGGGCTCGGGAAGTGTCTCAGGGATTCGCAGCCCCCTTCCTCTGGCCTTGCAAAGAAGTAAAAGCAAGAACGCTTTCTGCAAGAGTGGATTATTCTCAACTAGTGGGGTTTTTTGTTTTTTTTTTTGCCGGTGAAACTTGACTGCAACGTAAATTCTCTGGGGAGGTGCAGGTTTCCTCAGCCATCGCCTCCCGACTCCAGGTCCACACGGGTCAACACCGTCCCCTTGGCAAAGAGGGCAAACCAGGGGCAGCGGCAGGTTCACAGTTTAAGCGAGGATGAGGACTCCTCCTGGGGAGGGGATTAGTTTTGCTGAGCAAATAGAAGGGTCCACAGTACCTCCTGGGAAATGTAGTCCTTTCTTTAGTGCTTTGCAGAATTAATTAAATAAAAGCCATGCAGTTGAACTACAGCTCCCAGAATGTCACGGCCCGTAGGGCACGGGGTTTTAAAAAAATGGCACAAAGTTGGGGGGGGTGGCAAGTGGGTTCCCCCCCGCTCCGAGCTCCCTGTCTCCTCAGGTCTGGTCCAGCCACTCGGCCCGTTTGGGCGCTTTACACGTGTGCACGTCCACAGTGTCCTCGCACTCCTTGCAGCGCACAGCGCAGCACCAGTGGAACTTGCACTCGCACTTGGTGACGCGGGTGACACGGGTGGTGTCGTACCCCCGCCCGCAGCACATCACCTCGCAGCCATCTGTCCCCCGAGACATCTTGTTGCAGACGCGGCCGGCCGTGCCCAGGGAGCCTGGAGAGGGAAGGGAGAGCAGGTCAGGGGGGGTCCTCCTCCATCTTGTTCAAATACTGCCCCCCCCGAGCCCCGCTATGGCTGGGGATCTGGTGTGGGGACCTCGGGCACCACAGCATGACTGCCCAGGGAGGGGGTGGAGTCCCCATCCCTGGCTGTGTTTAAGGGCCGTTTAGATGCAGTGCTGAGGGACATGGTGTAGGGGAGGACTTTGTAGAGTAGGGGAGATGGTTGGACTCGATGATCCCAAGGGTCTCTTCCAACCTAGATGTTTCTATGATTCTATGAGGTGGACACACACCACCTCATGATGGAAATCTCCCCATGTCACAGCATGAGGTGGACACACACCATCTCATGATGGAAATCTCCTCACGTCACAGCACCCAAAGTGTGGGACGGGCTGTGGGAAGAGGTTGTGGAGCCTGTGCTCACTTGGTATGGGCACAGGCTGCAGTGTGTGTGGCCAGGGACACAGCCCTGGGGACCCTCTGCCGCCTGTGCTCACTTGGTTTGGGAATGGGCTGCAGTGTGTGTGGCCAGGGACACAGCCCTGAGCCCAAAGGCTGGGACGGGCTGTGGGAAGAGGTTGTGGAGCCTGTGCTCACTTGGTATGGGCACAGGCTGCAGTGTGTGTGGCCAGGGACACAGCCCTGGGGACCCTCTTCTCATGATGGAAATCTCCTCACGTCACAGCACCCAAAGTGTGGGACGGGCTGTGGGAAGAGGTTGTGGAGCCTGTGCTCACTTGGTTTGGGAATGGGCTGCAGTGTGTGTGGCCAGGGACACAGCCCTGAGGACCCTCTGCCTAGTCCTGTCCCTGCTGCTGCCCAGAGTGCGGTCATCATGGGATGTCTGATGGGTTTGGATCTTTGGTGTCAACCCTGGAGATCTGGGACAAACCTGGTCCTGTCTGTGCAGGCGTGAGGGGCTGTGGGGACCCAGTGAGCACCGACACCCACTGAGGGTCTGGGTGACACCCCCCCACAGTGTGACACCCCACTGGGGACTGGGGTTTGGTGGGAGCTGCCAGGCTGGACTGGTTGGGAGCCGTTGGACTGGTCAGGAGGGGAGGAAGAGCCACGTTTGGGCCGTGATTGGAGCTGTGGTTTTTACCTGCTGACTTGTCCATCACACAGTAATCAGGTGAGTTCTCAAAATACACCAGGTCTGTCTTCGTGGGCTTCCTGAAGTTCTTGTTGGCCACCGTGAAGCCAGTGCCGTCCTGGTTCATCGTCACCTGGATGGCCCCGTTGTATTTCTTCCTTAGGTAATCCCCCGTCTTTCGGAAATCTGACATTGCCAGCCAACAAGTCCTTAGTGTGCAGGAGCCGCTCACCCCGTGGCATTTGCACTCCAGCTTCAGGAACCGCTTCACAGCCTGTGGGGACAGGGACACCATGAGGACCAGCAGCCACCCGGGCCATCGGGCATCATGCCTGGCTCTGCTCATCCCCACTGCAGCTTCATCAGCCCTCACCTGCACGATGGGGCTGCTCATGGAGGACACATCCCCACCGTGACTGATGCCAGCACCACCGAGGACATGTGCTGGGGACAAAGGTAAGCAGTGTCCCGCCATCCCCATGGGGCCATCCCTGGGCAGAGGGTGCAGGGGGGCACCGGGAAGGCAGGGCAGGGTCCTGTCCCCATCTGCAGCAGGACCTGCCCTCTGTGGCCACCAAGGTCCCCCTCCACAGCCCGAGCTGCTCCCGCTGCCCCATCCCCTGCTAGGGGTCCTGCTGGGATTTCACTGAATTTCACTGAATTTTTGGAGTTGGAAGGGACCATAGAGATCATCTAGTCCAACTCCCCTGCTGAAGCAGGATTGCCTAGAGTTTGTCAGAGCATGTTACTCAGGAGCATCCAGGCGGATCTTGAAAATCTCCAAAGAAGGGGACTCCACACCCTCCCTGGGCAGCCTGTTCCAGGGCTCTGTCACCCTCACCGTGAAGAAGTTTCTCCTCATATTTGAGTGGAACCTCTTCTGTTCCAACTTGTGCCCGTTACCCCTCGTCCTCTCACTGGGAACCGCTGAAAAGAGTCTGGCTCCCTCCTCCTTCAACCCTCCCTTGAGATACTTGTAGGCGTTGATAAGGTCTCCCCTCAGCCTTCTCTTCTCCAGACTAAAGAGTCCCAGCTCTCTCAGTCTTTCCTCATAAGGGAGATGCTCCAATCCTTGAATCATCTTCGCTGCCCTGCACTGGACTCTCTCCAGCAGTTCCCTGTCTCTCTTGAACTGGGGGGCCCAGAACTGGACGCAGTATTCCAGTTGTGGCCTCACCAGTGCAGAGCAGAGGGGGAGAATGACCTCCCCCGACCTACTGGCCACACTCTTCCCTACGCAGCCCAGGATCCCATTGGCCTCTTGGCCACAAGAGCACACTGCTTGCTCATTGTCATTTTGCTGTCTACACAACAGCCGGGGTGGCCGGGCAGGGGCTCGGGGGCTGCACTCACCATCCTCCCGCAGCGGTTGTTGTGCAGGTTCATCAGCGCCCGGGCGTCCTTCACTTTCTTCTCCTTGGCGTCCACGAAGGCTTTGGCGAAGCGGATCCCGTAGTTGATGTTGTCGCTGCAGCCGCCCCAGTCGAACTCCCCGCGCTCGTCCTTGGAGCGGCCCCTCTTGAGCGGGTCACAGCTGCAGGCCTTCAGGTCGCCCTGGCTGCAGGCCCGCGTGATGGCGTACACCACGCCGGCCGAGGAGATGGCGTAGACGAAGGCGGCCTCCCTGCTGCCTGCCGTGGGGAGAGAAACGGGGAGTCAGTGTGTTGGGCCGTATCAGGCACCCACAGCCCACCCAGGAGTGGGGCACGGCGTGGTGGGACCTTCATGGCTGGGAGGGAGTGTCCTGCACATGGGTGAGTCAAGCCCAGTGGCCACCGAGTCTGTCCTCCATGTCCATGGCACCTTTCAGACTAAGGGGAATTTTGTGCAGAGCCTCGGGGTGTTGGGCTGCTCTAGGGCTGCCCCACCAGTCCCCCCTCACTGACCCACAGCTCGGGGACCCTCTGGGTGCCCATTGGTGCCGAGATGGATGGAGCTGCCATTGCCACCTCCCTGCCATGGCCACCAACAGCTCGGGGACCCTCTGGGTGCCTGATGGTGCCGAGATGGATGGAGCTGCCGTTGCTACCTCCCTCCATTGCCACCTTCCTCCATTGCCACCTCCCTGCCATGGCCACCTCCCTCCATTGCTACCTCCCTGCCATGGCCACCTCCCTCCACTGCCACCTCCCTGCCATTGCCACCTCCCTGCCATGGCCACCTCCCTGCCATTGCCACCTCCCTCCATGGCCATCTCCCTGCCATGGCCACCTCCCTCCATGGCCACCTCCCTGCCATGGCCACCTCCCTCCATTGCCACCTCCCTGCCAGGCCAATGCCAAGTGTGGGAACTGGCCACAGCTCCGGCCGGGCCTGTCTCTCCCCACACGGCACAGTGTGCCTCCTGCTATTTTATGTCTCTGCTCCGAGTTCGCAGCTGTTTTTATAACGCTGTAAAAGAAGCTGCAAATCAAAACCACGTTCGTCTCCGTTGCCGAGAGCCTTTGAAAGCAACTTCAAAGGGAGCGGAGCTCTCTTTTGGGCCTCGCAGGATGGGGCTGTGGCGAGGAGCTTTCATCATTCCCCGTCCTTCGCCAGGCGAGGATGAGGGTGGATGCGGGTGCCGTGGCGGGGATCTATTGCCCCCTCCCTTCCATGGCCACCTCCCTTCCATGGCCACCTCCCTCCACTGCCACCTCCCTGCCATTGCCACCTCCCTGCCATGGCCACCTCCCTCCATTGCCACCTCCCTGCCAGGCCAATGCCAAGTGTGGGAACTGGCCACAGCTCCGGCCGGGCCTGTCTCTCCCCACACGGCACAGTGTGCCTCCTGCTATTTTATGTCTCTGCTCCGAGTTCGCAGCTGTTTTTATAACGCTGTAAAAGAAGCTGCAAATCAAAACCACGTTCGTCTCCGTTGCCGAGAGCCTTTGAAAGCAACTTCAAAGGGAGCGGAGCTCTCTTTTGGGCCTCGCAGGATGGGGCTGTGGCGAGGAGCTTTCATCATTCCCCGTCCTTCGCCAGGCGAGGATGAGGGTGGATGCGGGTGCCGTGGCGGGGATAGGGCAGGCAGCAGCACAGCGGGGTGAAAGCTGCCTCCCGGCGCTCGCAGCCCCCCGTCCCTCCAGCCGCCTCCTCTCCGGGGGGCTGGCGTCCAGGCTCTGCTGCTCGCCCACCCCACCGGGCAGCAGCCCCATCCCCCCGCCAGCTGGGAGCGAGCCCCCCGGCCGCCCCCGCGGCGCCCACATGTCCTCCATATGAGCTGCTCCCGGCCGGTGGAACGGCTCTTCCCAGACGCCTTTCATTTGGAGGCTGGATGTGCTCCTGGGGTCCCGCTCGCTGCCCCAGCCCACCGTGCTGCTCCCGCTCGGGGACCAACCCCATCCCTGTCCCCGTGGTGCCCTTTCTCTCTGCTCCTCGGGCACGTCCCTGCTTTCACTGTGCCCGTCCCTCACCTGGCATGGGAAGGTCCCTCCCGGTGGTGTGGGGCTGGTGGTTGCCCCCCAAGCCATGGTTCTCCTCCACCTTGGAGCCCGACGCGAGGAGCGGAGCCGAGGCGAGGATGAGGGTGGATGCGGGTGCTGTGGCGGGGACGGGGCGGGTGGCAGCACAGCGGGGTGAAAGCTGCCTCCCGGCGCTCGCAGCCCCCCGTCCCTCCAGCCGCCTCCTCTCCGGGGGGCTGGCGTCCAGGCTCTGCTGCTCGCCCACCCCACCGGGCAGCAGCCCCATCCCCCCGCCAGCTGGGAGCGAGCCCCCCGGCCGCCCCCGCGGCGCCCACATGTCCTCCATATGAGCTGCTCCCGGCCGGTGGAACGGCTCTTCCCAGCCTCATTTGGAGGCTGGATGTGCTCCTGGGGTCCCACTCGCTGCCCCAGCCCACCGTGCTGCTCCCGCTCGGGGACCAACCCCATCCCTGTCCCCGTGGTGCCCTTTCTCTCTGCTCCTCGGGCACGTCCCTGCTTTCACTGTGCCCGTCCCTCACCTGGCATGGGAAGGTCCCTCCCGGTGGTGTGGGGCTGGTGGTTGCCCCCCAAGCCATGGTTCTCCTCCACCTTGGAGCCCGACGCGAGGAGCGGAGCCGCGGCGCTGCCTTGCCTCCCTCGCCATGCAAGGGAACAGCCAGTTCCCACGTGAACTGCTGAGTCCTGGCCAACCCTGCTCTCCAAATATTTATATATCCCATTACTGTTTACATACGAGCCTGTTCTCCGGAGGTGTCTCCTCCTTCCCCCTTCTCCCCCAGTGCTCCCCCTGCTCCATCTCAGCTGGTGCAGCTAGTTCAAACACGGTGCTCTGCTCCCATTACTGCTTGATTAATTTACAGGAGAAGGCAAAGCTCTCCTCAGGGAGTAATCCAAGCCACCGGGCACGGAGGAGAGACTCTCCTGGGGAGACAAGGCACGTGGCGGTGGGAAGGGGATGGAGCTGAACCTACTTCGCAGCATGACCCGGCCGAAGACGGTGTGATCCCGGTCCAGGGTGCTGCAGTTCCAGCGGTGGTGCCGGAATTGGTGCTGGCATTCCCGGATCCACTCCTTGGCTCCCTCCCCGACCGACTGCATGATGTCGGGGTACCGCTGGCAGAGCTGCCGCTGCTTGTTCACCAGCCCGGGGATGTTATCGCAGATCACCCTCGCGCCCAGCGCCCCGATGTACCTGCCAGAGAGAACGGGGACTCGTTACTGGGGACATTGGGGGGACCCCATCTGCTGGGGGAAGGTCATAGAATCATAGAATCATCATATGGGGTTGGAAGGGACCTCTGGAGATCATCAAGTCCAACCCCCCACACCGGAGTGGGTCTACTTAATCACAGAATCACAGAATCTTCTAGGTTGGAAGGGACCTTAAAATCATCTTGTCCAACCGTCAACCTGACTGACAAAAATAGACACCCGCACAACAAACAAGGAGCATCATCACTAAACCATACCTCCCAGCACTACATCCATCTGTCTTTTGAACACCTCCAGGGATGGTGCCTCAACCACCTCCCTGGGCAGCCCATTCCAATGGCTGAGAACCCTTTCAGTGAAAAAATTTTTCCTAATATCCAGCCTGAACCTCCCCTGGTGCAACTTAAAGCAGGTCCCACAGGATCTTGTCCAGGTGGTTTTTGAATGTCTCCGGAGAAGGAGACTCCACCACCTCTTTGGGCAGCCTCTTCCAGTGCTCTACCACTCAAGAAGTTCCTCCTCATGTTTAGGTGGAACTTCTTATACTCAAGTTTGTGCCCATTTCCTCTTCTCTTGTCACTGGGCACCATTGAGAAAAGACCAGCCCCATTCTCCCGACTCCCTCCCTTTAGGTGTGGGGCTCTGCCACCCTGTGAGGGGTCGTACATTGGAGCCCACCTTTCCCTCTTTTCTCTCTAGCTGTGTCACTGCTGCTCTGGGCTCTGCCAAGGGTGTCCCCTGCAGCGGGTGCCCTCCTTGCAGCACCCCCGGGACGGGGGAGCCATGGAACGTGCCGCTCGCTGTGGGTCAGACAGGCAGGACACGGGGACAGGGCACTGCTGAGCCATCAGAGCTGCTGGGCTTTGCTCTTTGTGTTTAACAAAATAACCCCCAGCCTGGGAGGGGGGAAGCTCTGCTCTGTGTGTGCAGCGCTGCGGGGGGGAGCAGTGGGTCTGCAGAGCCCATCTCCCCCAGGGAACAGGCAGCTTGGGGGGCTGCACGTTGTGGGACCTGCACCCCCAAGAGCCTGGGCTCCCTGTGAGCTCCTGGGGAGGCAGCGGAGGAACCTGCTGATGTGCAAGCCTTCCCTCCCACCCTCTTCCCCACGTCCCAGCCTGCCCTGCTGAGCGCAGCAGGATGGAGCCCGGCTGAGACCAGCGTGGCCGGCGCTGGCTCCGCTGCTGCCTCCTGCCCACACCCCGGCTGGGGCACACGGCGGGGACAACGGACCATGGCACAGGCACGTAATGCTCAGGTGGGGGAGAAAAAGGAGCATCCTTCATCTCTGGTTGCTGCAGTCCTCCTTCATGCTGTCATCCCCCGGCTCTCTTGTCCTCTCTGTGCATTCCTTGCACCAGTGAACGTTTATGATTGTGCCCTGAAGCTGGATAACCAGGACTATGCTGTGTCTCCTGTCCTGCCTGTATCCTGCCTCCATCCCCTATCCTGCCTGCATCCCCTATCCTGCCTCCATCCCCAATCCTGCCTGCATCCCCTATCCTGCCTCCATCCCCTATCCTGCCTCCATCCCCTGTCCTGCCTCCATCCCCTATCCCGCCTCCATCCCCTGTCCTGCCTCCATCCCCTATCCTGCCTCCATCCCCTATCCCACCTGCATCCCCCATCCTGCCTGCATCCATCCCCTATCCTGCCTGCATTCCCTATCCTGCCTGCCTCCATCCCCTATCCTGCCTCCATCCCCTATCCTGCCTGCCTCCATCCCCTATCCTGCCTCCATCCCCTATCCTGCCTGCATCCATCCCCTACCCCACCCGTATCCCCTATCCCACCCTCATCCCGGTCCCCTCCCTGCAGCGGAGGGCAGGAGCTTGGAGCAGAAAGACAATGCTTAAACAACAGTCTGGTAGAGCCCGGCTGAGCCCCACGGGCAGCCTTCCACGGCCACGGGGGAGGGACCCCGAGCTCTGTCCTGCTCCCCACAGCCTCACGCCAGCCCGGGCAATGGCAGCAACGTGGAATTTTCCATCCCGGTCAGCCCCAGCCAGGCAGCGGCTGCTCGTGCAGCATGATGAGGATGATGTTTGCCACAGAGCCGTGATTCTGGCTGGAAGGGATGAGGTTTGGGTGGGATTCAAATTTTTCAGCACCCCCTGACTGGAAGTAAGAACCTCCCTTTAATAATAATAAAAAGCAATAAGCTTGGGCAATATTTCATTGTCTCTCTCTGGCCGTGTTCTATCACTTCTATCAGCCCCAGAGAGAGATGGCGGGCTCAGGAAAGCCCTGCGAGCACAGAAAGCAGTGGGATCTATTCCCTCTTTTAAAATATTTTGTTTAAAACGCTGGCAGAATCACAAGGTCATCTCAGGCTGGAGCTGAGGATAATAAACCCAGCTCCCCACGGCTTTGCAAGCCCCGACGCCGAGGGCCCGCGAGCGTTATTTTCACAGGCTGGTTCGTCAGCCTTTCATCCTGCAGCAGCGGGAGAAGGGCGATGGCAGAAGCCGTTTTTAGGAAAGAAAAGCCAACAGGAGCTCATTGAGTGATGCCGACTGCAGGTGTTTAATTGCCTCGTTCGTGCTGGGCTGCGAGAGCGGCCGGTTCCTCCCCACGGTGAGTGGGGTGGATGGAGCATCCCCCCAGCTGGAGGGGGTCCAGAGGAGGGCCACAAGGATGATCAGGGGGATGGAGCACCTCTGCTACGAGGACAGGCTGAGGGAGCTGGGGTTGTTCAGCCTGGAGAAGAGGAGGCTCCAGGGAGACCTAATAGCAGCCTTCCAGTACCTGAAGGGAGCCTACAGGAAGGCTGGGGAGAGCCTGTTTAGAAAGGCCTGCAGTGACAGGACGAGGGGCAATGGCTTCAAGCTGGAGGGGAACAGATTTAGACTGGAGATGAGGAGAGGGTTCTTCACTGTGAGGGTGGTGGAGCACTGGAACAGGTTGCCCAGGGAGGTGGTTGAGGCCCCTTCCCTGGAGATATTCAAGGAGAGGCTCGACGAGGCCCTGGGCAACCTGGTCTAGTTGGGGGTGTCCCTGCTGACTGCGGGGGGGTCGGACTAGATGGCCTTTGGAGGTCCCTTCTGGCCTGGGCAATTCTATGATCCTATGATTCTATGGAGGACAGCCCAGGCCAGAGGGATGGAGTGGGGATGCAGAGATTCTGAGGGGTGGTGTGCCCGCCTACCCTGGCCCTGGGTTCCCTCTGCCCAGCCTGCCTGGTGCCAGCGAGGATGGGGACGGCTGCCGTGTCCCTGCGTGGCCAAGAGCTGGGAGGAGGCTGCGGGGGGGCAGCGGCGTCGCAGGGTTGGGGCTGCAGCAGCAGCAGCCAAAGCTCCTCTGCTCTGGAGAAAGGAGATGCTGGGAAAGGTAAAACGTTCTTTGATGGGCACCTCACTGGGGACCCCATCCCCTGTCCATCTCCAGCGCTGCAGAGCTGTGGCACTGGTTTGTGGCACTGGTTTGTGGCACTGGTTTGTGGCACTGGTGGTGGGCTGCGGGCAGGGCTGGCAGCGGGGGGACCCCACGCTGGAGAAGGGGCAGATAAAGCCCCGACTAACACCATCCCCCGGGAGACTGAGATCAAGGGAAACCCTCCAGACAAGATAAACACCAGGCACTCCCTTTTTCACACCGCCAGCTAATTACTTCTCGTTAATGCTCCTGCCAAACACCCGGATCAGAGCAAACACTATCGGCAGGAGAAAGTGGAAGGAGAGCGGGGCCAAGGGCAGGGAGCAGGGTCCCACAGCCCCACCGGGGTCAGGGGCTGCGTCTCCCCCTGCTCGTACAGCACATTTGCTGTGGTACCTAGATGCCTTCATCCAAGGTTACGTACTGAAACCCACCCCACCTCTGCTGGGACACAGCAGGCACAAGGGGGACAATTCCTCACGGGTCTCGGAAAGGCTGGGGTTATCCTGGTGGGATCCAGACCTTCCCTTTCGTGAGAAATGCTCCAGTTGGGTTCAGTTCCTCTGAAACGGAGTGAGACGAGGAACATCAGGAAATTCTGCCAAGCAGAATTTTGGGAGGGGAAAAAACCCAAACATTTGTTTTGGATTGATTAAAGCATCCCTTCCGATTGTATTTCTAAAAATCTATGGCATTTTAAAAACACTGAAATAGGAAAGACAATGGATGTTCTGAGAAGTCCCCAGCTGCTTTATCAGAACTTCATTTTTTTAAAAAATGAAGTTGTGCTGGAAGTGGCAAACTTATGTGAAATGCTGTACTCTTGGGGAATCTGCATTCTTACAGCAGGAAAAAACCACCCCAAGCCCTAAAGTTCACAAAAGGCTGTGAGAGGGAACTGCTCGTGAGAGGGAACCGCTCGTGATGCTGGAGGCTGCTCGGGCTCGGACTTGTGCACGGTCAGTAGGAGCGGGGCGGGAGCTGGGAGGGAGGGATAATTAAGTGCATGTGGGGATAACGATCCCCCACCCTGTCAAACGGGGTTCCAGAGGATGCTGCCTCCTGTGAGGTCCTCGTGTCGTGTCTGCAGAGCCCTGGCATCGCCCTCTGGCTCGGGGCAGAGCTGTTTGCTCAGCCCAGGCAGAGGGGCTGGCGCCGGGCCCTCCCACGGCCCTTGGCTCCCTGAGGCTGCATCAGTCACTTCTTGCACATCAGCGTCCCAGCACCAGTCGGCTGCTTCTCCCGGGTGCTCCTGGAGCTCAGGGTATGAGGGAAATGCTGTGCCACCATGTGTGCCACCAGATCCCCACCACATGTGCCACCCCGCGTGCCACCAGACCTCCTCCACCACACGTGCCACCATGTGTGCCACCAGACCTCCTCCACCCCACATGCCACCAGACCTCCTCCACCCAGCGTGCCACCAGACCCCCTCCACCACACGTGCCACCATGTGTGCCACCAGACCTCCTCCCCCCCGTGGAGGTATGGTTTAGTGATGATGCTCCTTGTTTGTTGTGTGGGTGTCTATTTTTGTCAGTCAGGTTGACGGTTGGACAAGATGATCTTTAAGGTCCCTTCCAACCTAGAAGATTCTGTGATTCTGTGTGCCACCAGACCTCCTCCACCACACGTGCCACCAGACCTCCTCCACCACACATGCCACCACGTGTGCCACCAGACCTCCGCCTTCCACCCCCAAGCACGAAT